GGAGAGAGAGAGAGTTTTAAGACATTTGCTATGCATTAAGAGCTTATTGGGGCCAGCCCCATGGCTGAGTGGTTAAGTTTGTGAGCTCCGCTTCAGTGGCCCAGGGTTTCACCGGTTCGGATCCTGGGCGTGGACGTGGCACCACTCATCAAGCCATGCTGAGGTGGCATCCCACACAGCACAACCAGAAGGACCTACAACTACAATATACAACTATGTACTGGGGTGGGGAGTGGGCTTTGGGGAGAAGAAGAAGGAAAAAATAAAATAATAAAAAAAAAGATTGGCAACAGATGTTAGCTCAGGTGCCAATCTTTTAAAAAAAATTTATCTCCTTTGGCATTTCCTTGAGAGATAGTACAGATTTGAAATAATGAGTATAGATTTATAATATTTTCTGGTTCCTGAATTGTATTTCTTTGAATGCAATACTTGGCTGAGACTGGGCCAACTGGAGTTGTAGGGTTTGGGGGACTGTAGAAACTTTCCCTTGAGATAGAAGCTCCAATTTATTAAGCAGAGTGCAAATGACTGTTTCGAAATACATCCAATAGATAACAGTCCTGGTTCTTCTCTTTGGGATGTTACGAGGCTATCTCTTAGAGGAGATACATTTTGGGGTGTCTGCCCAGCCTATGACTTTCTGTATCTGATAACTATTTCCTCACCTGCAGGCAGCAGCACTCTGCCAGCATGCTAGCACCAGGAGTCACTCCCTTTCTTTCGACAGTTGATTGGACCAGGAATGAGTACCTGACCCAAGTTGGGCGCATCAGAGTTTCTTTGCTGAGAGTAAGGGGTTAAATGTGGGGCGATTCAGGAGCTGTAGAGAGCTACATAGATCCATGAGCTCCCCAAAGCTGCAAAAGCAGTTCTACAAAGGGAGAGGGCTGACTGAAGGGAGGCAGAGAGTAACAAATTGGGATAGAATCCTTCTGAGCTCTTGGTGGCTTTCCCCTTCCCAGTTCCAGGCCCTCACGATGGGAGCTGCCCTTAGGTTCTTGCAAGCTACATAGTATCCTTCAAATAAATTCTCTCTCTCTTGTTTTTTCCTTTTTGCTCAAGTTAGTTTGAAGTAAGTTTCAACTACTTAAAATCCAAAGGACTTGGCCTAAGACAGTTGCCTTTTATGGCCCAAATTCCTCAAGTTATTGGGTTTACTTTCTGGTACCCTTGGTCTCATCTGTTTGCTAACTTGTTGTGTGTTCATGGTACAAAGCCTGCCATCAACCATGATGATCTGTTTTATCTCTAGAATCAGCCAACCTAGAGGGAAAACAAGTATTTGCCAGTATTTTGAGAAGAAAGCCCTTAAATTGTCTCCTCGCCTGCTGAGTATGATTGCGTCATTTAATGGCTTAACCGTTTCCCCCTAAACTTCAGCCTGTGTTTGTCTTTGATTATTTACCTACCGCATCTTCTGATAAGCTTTCCTTCTTGGGTTCTTATTCTGACATCTCTTACAGACAAAATTAGCTGTACTTAGAAATTATGCCTGCATGGGTTTTCCAAAGGGACGGATGTTTCTCATTCTAGGCCAAAAGTAAACCAGCGTCTACTCTACACATGTGTAGATGAACATTTGAGAAGCAGACCCTTCCAGACTGAAGCTCTAGAACACAAGCTGGACTGCATTTAGCACAGAAGGACTCACAGAAGATGAAGGATTTCCCATGGTGCGACAGGCTCAGAGCAATTGTTCCCAAGGGTGGTCTCTGATCCCTGAATGCTCATGAAAAATGCTGTTTTCCTGGTCCTGCTGGAGACCTGCTGAATCAGACTTTCTAGGGATGGGGCCAGGCACTCTGGATTTTAAATAATCTATCTAGGTAATTTTGATGCGTGAAAGCCATCTTGGCTACAACCCAAGAGTAGCAATCCTCAGATCCAAACCTAACTGTTAGACTGTATTTCACAATAAGCTCATCCTCTTCTTCAATGCAGTAGTGATACATATCTCTCAGGAAAATTAAAGTCAGCCAAACTACAGTTCTTTTTTTGAAGACTGTCATTCTTGGGAAGAAGTGAATACACCTCAGATCCTCCAAAACTGGATTGTAAACCCCAGGCTCTGATGCCTCCATCCTGACCAATGGGCTTGTAATCAGATTCTCTGGAAGTGAGTGCGACTGGGAAACACGGTCTTCGTCTGTTTTGTTTTTCCCAGATACTGGGAAGAAAACAAACAAATGCTAAGGCAGAATTTCTTGAAATGTGTTCCTCAAGCCAGCTGGGTCAGAATGACAACGAGGGCCTTTAAGAAAGCCGATTCTGGAGTTCTACTCCAGATCCACTGAAGCAGAACCTCTGTGGGTAGGACCAGGAGATTTGCGTTGTGTGATAAGCTCTGCAGGCATTTCTTATACATAGTAAAGAATCAGGCCTTCCCTGGATGTCTGTCTCTAAATCCTACTTAAGGCTTACATTAAAAAGAAAAGACAATGAACACTCTTAGACCAGATACCAATGGTATCTAGTTCCTGCCACCCTTTCTCTTTGTGTGGGATAATAAGAATAAGAATGAGAAGAACAATAGCAACAGCTAATGTGTTTTGAATTCTTACAGTGGCAGATATATTGCTAAGAATGTTACATGCATTATTCTAGTAATCCACCCAACAACTCCAATATTCTATTTGATAGACAAAAACTGAGGCTCAGAGAAGACATGGACATTTCCCAAGATGATACAACTAGCAAGTGGTTGAGATGGGATTAATTTGCTAAGGGGAAGTGCGGCAAAATAAAAGGGGTGGCAGCTGGCATTCAGAATTCATCTTTTATACATTTGAATTCGGGTTGTAAGGAACATTTCAGCGCAGACTAGAGTTTATGTATTGAAATGTAACAATACAAAAGGACAATGGGGAGGGGGTGTGTAAGGACCAAAATTGTACAGTAATCCTGGAAAAGTACCTCCAGGGCAGGAACTGGCATCTGTTTGGAGGTGAGGAAGTCCTGGGGACCAGCTCCTCTGGGTCACTTCAGACTGTCTGTGCTCACGTCCATCCTTGTTCTTGGAACAGCTCTCAGCCCGAGCTTCTACTTACCCATGACTTCTGCTTCCTCATCCTTCATCTTACCTTAATGCTCATGGGACTAACTTCACCTCCTGCCAGCTCTTCCTATAAATCCTTTTAGCTTCAGCCACTGCTGCCAACTGCTTCATTCTCTTGCAATTTCTTAGTTTATATTCTTGAGAGAGGGAATCTGATTGGTCCAGCTTACCATGTTGTGTTAGATCGCTTATCGATTTCTGGTAAGGCGCTGTTCCTGACTCCATCATTTTGGCTGAGGAGGAAGAAGATGGGGGGGTCATATAGTAAAACCATGGCTGCCTGAAGGTCATGGTCCCAAGAAGGCTCTGCGAGGACTGGCACAGTAATTACCTTTTCCAACACTAGTCTGCATCCAAAGGCTTTCAGCAGGTCTTAGAATGAAATAACTCTCGTTTGCAACTCCCAAGTCCTCATGGTTAGGGTGGGTGAGATTATTTGCTGTTCCAGATTGCTCACCTAGTGGAAAGTCAAATTTGTAAGCTCCTTGAGGGTAGGGAGTTTTGTTTTGTACATTGCTGTCTTCCAAGCACGTAGAACAGTGCCTGGCACAGAGCAGGCGCTCAATAAATATTTGTTGAAGGAATAAATGCTATTGCAGTATCCAGCAACCCCCAAATGTTATGGATCACACATGGGAAAATCTAATTTATAAGCTGCTTTGGTCCTGGCTCCTAGACAATATTAATACCATCCTAACCAGAACACAGCTGTGGATATAACTCACCAGACAACCCACTTATGATTTGCTTAGAAGCAAATACAAATATTTTGGGGTCATCTGCTGGTTCCAATTCCCGCTAATAACTGAAAATTAACTGTGTGGCCTCGGTAGGAGTCAGTTTCAAGCATCCTCAAGGAACAGAGAGGCAAAGAAGGCAACGTACCGTGGTGATTTTGTCTCCAGAGGACATTCCGCTATGGGTGGAGACATTTATTTTTTTATTGTGATAAAATAAAGGTAACATAAAATTTGCCATTTTTTAAGTCTAGTTCCGCAGTGTTAAGCACATTCACACTGTTGTGCAACCAATCTACAGAATTTTCATCTTGAAAAACCTAAACACTGTCCCCATGAGACAACTCCCCATCCTCTTCTCCCTCTACTCCCTGGCCACCACCCTTCTACTTTCTGAATTTGTAGTGGTAGCCGTCTGAATTTGACTACTCTAGATATCTCATATAAGTAGAATTAAACAATCTTCGTCTTTTTGTGACTGGCTTATTTCACTTAGCATAACATTCTCAAGTTTTACTCCTGTTGCAGCACGTGTCAGAATTTCCTTCCTTTTAAAGGATGAGTTGTAGTCCATTGTATGTACACACCACATTTTGCTTATCTATCATCCATCAGTGGACATTTGGGTTGCTTTGGCCTTTTAGCTATTGTGAACAATGCTGCTATGAACATGGGTATACAAATATCTCTTTGAGGTTCTGTTTCCAATTCTTTCAGGTATATACCCAGAAGTGGAATTTTTGGATTATATGGTAATTCTATCTTTAATTTTTTGAAAAACCACCATACTGTTTTCTATGGAGGATGTACGATTTGACATTCCCACCAACAGTGCACAAGGGTTCCAATTTCTCTATATCCTCACCCACACTTGTTATTTTCTGGGGGTTTTTTTAATAGTAGCCATCCTAATGGGTGTGCAGTGTGGAGACATTTTTGGTTGTCACAACTCAGGAGCAGGGGTGCCACTGGCATCTTGTGGGTAGAGGTCAGCAATCGACATCCTACAGTGCACAGGATAGTCCTCTGCCACAACAAATGAACTGGCCCCAAATGCCTTTAGCGCTGAGGTTGAGAAATCCTGATTTAAACATTCGGGTTCATCTTGCACAGTAAATCTTATCCCCTGACACGTGCAGCCTCTCTCTTCTTTGTTGAGACACTCAAAAGCAAAGATTTCCAAAAATCTGGAAAGCAAGGGAAGATTGAGAAGAATGGCAACATTTCTTTTATTCAAATTTTATTGGAAGTTTACAAATGTATTACAGACATCAGTAAAACATCATATCCATTTTACAGGGCACGGATGTCAAGCAAAGTGTTCACACCCGTCTCTGGCAGAGCCCACACCAAGGCCTGTTGCAGACCTTCTTAACAAATAGCTTGACACTCGACACACAACACAGACTCTGGCCTGCCTCACCTTCTCAGGCCGTCTGAGGTTTTGTTTATGCACTTGGAATTGAAGCAGGAGATGGACAAAGCAATCCTGTAAGGAAAGAATGTATCTAGGAGAGAGAAAACTGCCAAAGTCCTAATTTGCTATGAAAGTGGAGGACTCAAAGGCCTTACAATGTTAAGTCGGGGTCCATGATCGAACCAAAATGCTTTATGGAAAAGTATGGAAATCAGCTAGATAGGCTTGAGAACAGACCTTACCGGTAACTCTCTACGAAAAATTTGGAAAAGCTTGGTCAGCGACCTAGTGAACATCAACGGCCAAATGCCCAGTAGGGTGAAGGGATGTCTCAGGAAACTCTCAGGATAGAAGAAGACAATTTTTTCCTATCCTATGGATTCATCATATCTAAACACAGAAACATTTTCCTAATGCTATGTGAATTTCCCCCTCCTTTTTATTCCCTTTGGTGAAAGCTAGTTTTGTCAGCAGGAAGTAAGCTTATAAAATAGAATAGCTCCCAACAGTGAGCTATTGTTTTATGGGAGTCTTGTGTTGACTGGGCTACTACTATGAGAAAACGGAAAAGGATTCCACTTCTTTCTTGATCCTAACCTTGATGGCTGCTTCCCAGCAGTCAGACAAACAAGCTCTGGGTGCCTGCTGAGGTCCCAGAGGGACCAATCACTGGAGGCAAGGCAAAGCTCTCTTCATTTCCACTTCTCTTATGCTTTAAGAAATGTACCTCAAAAGGCAGCATCTGAAACTGCCTTCAAATCTGCAGAGGAGGCTTGGCTGAGTCCCGTGCCTGGAATGCTGTCCGCACAGCCCATTTCAAAGCCCTGAAGGTGCTAACCAGTTGCTAATAGCAACTCTTCTGGCATGAAATATTCTGATAACTGCTTCCATTTTCCACTTTCCTTTGTCATAGATAGATCCTCCTTAGGCATCAGCATCTGGTTTCTGTTAGACAGAAATACGCAAAGAGCACTTATCCTTGGAATTTAAATATTTGTGTTCTTTCTTGTTAGAAGGTGGGATTAGACAAAGAATAAGATGGACTCTTATCTGACCTCTGCAAAAGGATGAACAGAAGGCTGCCTATAATTGGCCAAGAACATGAGAATGGAAAAGGAGGCCAGAGATTGGTCTTTGTTTATCCTAAAGTCAGCCTCTTTAAGCATCCACAATATGGGGGTACTGGAATTGGCAGTCTCACAATTATTTATGAAGAATAGTTTCTAAATAGCTGGTGTACTGTTTTGGGCCAATGGCAAAAGAGCCCAGGGTGGAAAGACAAATAAGAATCAGTTCATGAATAAGATTTGTTATCAGACAAATAAGATTAGTTCTGATCAACTGGTCTGGGCTGGTTGGAGCGTTCCAAAGATTTCTGAGGCAGCATCCATGTTCTTTGGGAAAGTATATAGTGATACACTGGTTGCATCTGCCCAGGTTGCAGGGATGGCAGAGCATGTGCTACATATATGCCATCGTTGGCCCCACCTGAACTCAACAATGGCTAGTGGCACCCAAGAAGCAGAAAGCTGCTGCAGGAGGAGAAGGAAATATAACCTTGTTGCAATGCAGGAACATTCTACAGAATGGGAAAAGAGGATGAGAAAGAGCTGCCTTCAGGTCCCAAACTAGAAATACAAAGTTGCTTGTTCACTGGGCTGGCTTGAGGGTGGAAAGGAAGGACTAGAGAACAGAGGGTGAATGTGGAAAGAAGGTGTCAAACAACCAACACTAGCAATTCTTTCCCCTCAAACACACGAAAAGCAGGAAGCACAGCTCGGTTTCCCTTGCCTCATTCACCTTCACGCTTGGTAGAGATCTCAGAACTACATGACAGAAGGAAGGGTACCTCAATGCCACATTCAATGCCACCAGCTTGCTAAAAAACCTGTTCATAGTATCAAGGGTGGCATGTATGGCAGGGCCACTCAGGAAACTGCCAATGACTTCTCCTTCTTGGGAAAGAGCCGGTTCTGTTGCCACTAAATTGAGCAGAAATAAGAAATGAACTGAACTCCAAAACTGTGGTTTTAACCAAAAGACAACAAGTCTCATAAGAGGAGAGGTAGAAGTAAAAAAAAAAAAAAAGCCAAACCCCAAGACATTAGAGAAGAGAGGAAGCTGGAAAAAGATTACTTTTCTAAGAATAGTCCACTGAAGATGAAATGATGATCTAAGAAGAGGTGAGTGCAGGCTCCACTCACAGGCGAAATTTGGTCAAGAAGAGCTCACGGAAATGATGGAGAAATCAGGTAAGGACCCTACACTCTTGCCTCAGAAAAGAATGCACTGACTTTTTGGGAACGGGAGTCTGAGATGTTACATGTCAGTTGTCACTCACAGGTGGAACTTCCAATACAGTGATACCTGCTCTCTCTAGGACATTCACTTGGAGGTTCCATCATCATCATGAGGATTTAGCTGTCCTCCATCGGCATTCTCTGTGAGGTGCCTGGCTGCATGTGGGCTGGGGAGGAGACAACTGCAGTGGTGGAATAGATGGAGGTGATCTTGCCTGTAGACAGTTCGACCCTTAGGCTTGTATCTTATTATATCAAAAGCTCTGACCAATTCAGCTGCTGGATGTCCCTGGGCAGCTAGATCTGAAATTGCTTATTCCTCTGATCCCTTTGGGTACTAGTTATGTGGCACTTTCTAGGCCACCTCCTTGTCTCTGCTGATAGTGGCTAAAGCCTCATCGGGGAAATGTAAGAGGTACTTTGAAAAGGACCGAGTTAGAAAGCGACATTTACTGGGAGAATTTCTCTCAGTGGATTCCAGGCCACAGAGGACAGACATTATTTTCAGCTGTTTGCAAAGTTAAGTGATCTACTTTTTTCTCTCTTTTCTTTTTCCAAAATGCCTTTATTCTCATCAGTTAAGGAACTCAAATCTCCAAATTGGACTCACCCGATTTCTACCAGAAACCTGCCACCTTGGTAGCATGGTGTTGCACATTATTTCTTAATCAGTTTGCCAAGCAGTTTACAAACTTACTATACAAACGTAATAGAGTTAATTCTCCGGAGGCTTGGATAATTAATGAAGCATTTAGATATGAAGATAGCATGCGGAAAACAGCCACAACCAACATTTGCATTGCTTTTTTAAAAAATCAGTGACAATGACAAATGTCATATTAATACCTGAAAAGCAAATTATTTTAATACATCCTGAATGGAGTGCCATTTCCACGTCCTTTACAGCCTTCCTTTCCCCAGACCCATTTGGGATGGTGTCTGAAGCGCTACTTTTCACATTCTCTCCATAAAAAAATACTAGAAAATATTAACTACTATACTGAAAAGAGACCACGCTCACCTCACCAGGGCAGATGGCCACTGAGATACACCGTGTACTACATCGACAGTACATCTCACTAAAGGTTGGTCCTCCGATGGATTATTTCAACGGCCACAATCCATTAGGGGGAGGAGGAGAATGGAAGAAAAAGCAAGCGCTTCATTTTTAACTGAAGCAAGGTAGGAAGTTTTATTTCACTATAAACAACACAACCGTTAAATGTCTTCTTTAAGCAAACTCACTTTTGAGCCCATTTTCTGTCTGACCAACAGTCCCCAAAGTTCCAAATGGAAATCCTCCTTTCAACAACATTTGTTTTTCAAGACCATTACACTGAAATCTCCTGAGCAGCCCAACTTTTCTGGGTAACCCAGATACTCTGGTTACGGAGTGTGTCAAACTGGATTCTTTCTCCAAGCACTGGGGGCTAATTCAAGGAGGTTTTCACCTCTCCTCTGCTTCACTTCCAGAAGTTCGTCTTTGCTCTGACTCGCCTTCATATTCTCCTTCAGTTTCTACCCCGGACCTGCTTTGTTTTCAAATGACCTTGTTCCTTCTCCATGTGTGACATACAATCTAGAACACACCATCACGACCAGAGCCCCTCAGAACCTTTCTGCCCCTAAATTCCTTATGCTTAAGTTCATTTGCAGCGAGGACAATCGGTTGTCAGGCTAAGGCAGCTGTTCCGTCTGCCTTGGTAAAGGAAAGCAGATAATACAATCCAGGAAACATGAGCACCAGAAAAGAATGCCACATTCAAAACAACGTCATGCTGACATCACACAACGGCACCACTCACAGTCACTTTTATTTTCCCCAAGGGATAGATCAATAGTAAGCAACTTCAATGTTCCCAGCGGGGATGGCATTTCTCACAGCACTTTACTGACACTGGTTGGTTTCTCTAATTGGCAAAGTTACGTTTGCAATTAAAAAAAAGTTACTATCACTTTGTAGAGAATAGATTCTACTGAGGGTAGGAGTGGACTTAAGGACAGCTCCCGAAGATGGAATGGAGCATAAAATGCTTTGGGTATAATAGTTAATTTTTTTTTCAGCCACAAAAAGCCAAATTGAATAAACTCCTTTGAAAAAGGTCTCACTGACATGTAACAAATTTGTATAGAAAAAAGAAAAAAAAAAAAGGTGGTCCTGGACCACCTTCGAATACTACTCAAAGACAATACTGGATGTGCATGCAAGTCTCCACTGAGTCCTACGATATAGAAATTCCTTTGATATTACAAAATACAAAAATATTTTATCAGAACTCTCATTTACATAGCATTTACAATGGACATGTAAATAACTTAGTGTTGGGTCCTGGCTAATAAACAAATTACTTACTGGAAGAAGGGTCCTAAAAGTAAGAGAACCAGAGAGGATATAAGCAAGCGGGAAACAATTTGCCATCTTGCGAGTGGTAACTCAGCACAGGCTGACAGCAAGGAGGTGACCCATCCAGGCCGCCCTAGAGTCTATCGTGTTTCCAAAGTGAAATGTGCAAATAATATTCAACATGCCAAGAACTGTGACTAGCTATTGAGTCAATCTGTAACCTTGCCTCCATCGACTGAGAGCATTTCCCTCTTCTCCAGTAACCACCCCCAAAAGCGCTTTAACATCTAAAACAGTGCAAGTGTTCTGAATCTACATTCTTAGCTCCCATCTTCCCCCATCCCCCGACCCCAATCAGATTAAGAAATGATACAGTTTTTGCTCTTTTGTCTCTTCCTGCTGTGCAACTGTCCCCTGCCACCTAACGTGGAAGACTTGGGGAGGCCGTAAGAGCTGTACTTGTGTAGCAGCTCGTCGCTAGTGACATATCGCAGGCGGGCAGGCTGAGGGATTGGTTCTCCTAGGAAATAGCCCTCGTTGTCAGACTCAGAGGAGGAGGAGCAGGTGGAACACCAATCATACTCGGTGAAGTAGGGTCCCCATCGCTCCCCAAAGGCATTCTGCAAAGCCAAGTCCGACACAGTCCTCGGGCACTGGCCATACAGGTCCCTCCGGGACCCCTGGCCAAGGCTCTCCTGGAAGCTCCGCTGGCGCATGAATTGGTCATAGTCCTCCCTGGCTCTTAGTGGGGGCCTTTCTTTTAACCGAGACATGGCCTCGCGTTCGCTGGCCAGGTGAAGGGCGTTGTCCGAGCGAGAACGTCGGGAACGCCTGGACCGGTGAGGTCGGAAGCGGCGGTTGTCGTCGCGCGAAGTAGCTCTTCTCCGCGTGCGTTCGCTCATGGGCTGGATCCTCACACCCTCCTGCCCTGGCAGCTTGCTGCCCGCTATCCCCCCGTCAAAATCAAAACTCTGATGCATCCTTCCGTGGGACTGCAGGTCTCTGTACCCAATGGGGTTGCCGAGCTGGTGGAGGTTCCCCTCCATCTCCTGGTACTGCTGGGCAGAGAGCAGGCTGCGAACTGACTCTGCGCTCCGGAACTGCATGGACGAGTTAAGCGTGCCCATGTTGCTCAGCTTCTCAGAGACATTCATTCCAGAGTCTTTGCTGAGGTCAGGCATGGAAAACCGGGAGAGATGCTCCTGGCGCTTGGCGCCACAATCGGCAGAGAGGCCTGGGGGAGAGAGAGGAGAGGACCGTGGAGGTTAACACAAATGTGTGGTATTGGGGGTCACTGTTGGTCATCTGAACTGTCATTTATCCAGGGTCACTGCATGAGGTTGTGCAGTTGTGTGCACAAAGGCTCTCTCAGCAAGTGTGTGGGAGGGCTCTCCCCACCCCACAGTGGGCAGTGTCCACCTAGAGAGGGCACTTGGTTAAATGCATACACAGAGATGCATTTTACTAGTTAATTTTTTCAAAGGCTCATTGAAATTACTAACAGCCCACAGTGTATCTTACACGTGACCTTTCCTCTGTTTAGAATTTCGCTTTACCAAGTGCTTCAATTACCTCTGATTCTAATGAGGCCCTGTAAGTATGGAGGACAGATATTTTGCGTAAGGAAACTTTAAGCTATAGAGGCTGGGCCATACCCAAGCATTTCCCAGCAACACTGAGCCTAGAAGCTAGTCCCATTTTACTGGGCTAGTTCACTTCTCTGTTAGCTTCCAGCAATTTCCTGCTCTGCCTGCTGTCCCTAAGCCCCCTATCTCAAATGTGTGACCCTAAGTGACTCCCGGGGTATATACAGGATATTTACCTCTCAGGCTGTTTAGTAAATGACTGCTCTAGGGTTCTCAATGGGCCCCTAACAGCCAGATGCTGTGATTGGGACCCTGGGGCATCCTCCTTCCCCTGGGGAGGCACTTTGTAAACAAAGCAGTGACTCGAATGCTAACAGCGAGTGCCCCAGCAATGGGTCTGCATTCCCTAAGTGCTGGCATCACTGAGATGAAAACCATTTTGAGGACAGTGGGGGATTCTTGACTTCAGTAACTTCCATTTTGCTCATCTTAAAGCAGCACTCTCCAAAGAGAAGCCTAAGAATGGACCAGGTGGTAAAATCGCAGCCTTTTCCACTCATCATCCACTGAAAAGATCAGCAATTTTGCCATTTCTGGTCACAGACAACATATCTTTGGGTTGCAATGGCCCATTATGCCCCCTGCCACTGACTATTCCTCCCCACCTACTGAGGCCAGCGACTTCTCCTCCCCTGACAAAACTAAAGCAGTGTTATGAGCACTTTGGAAAACTGATGCTTCACAATATCTACTAAAGCTAATATACATATATACAAATTATGAACAAAGCCGATTTGAGTATCTGTGTCCATTGTTTGTGGACTTATGTACTGTTGGGTAGAGAACCTGAGTGGAGAGTCTATAACCTTCCATCACTACTCTTGGTTATATACCCAACAAAAGTCAGTTTATAGGTCCAAAAAAAAGTACAAGGGTATTTAGAGAATCTTTCTTTATAGCAGCACAGAACTAGAAACAACTCAAATGTCAACCAACAGGAAAAAGGGTAAATAAATTTGTGGTATTTTCTACCATTCCCCATTAAAAGGAACTAGGATGCTTTGGAGAAATGACTGATTCCAGGACAGGAGAGGGGAAGGTAAAAGCCTGGAACATCTTGTGATGCCAAAAAATAAGGAAGTGTTAGAAATGAAAAATGATGGGAGTTTGCCAGAAGAACACAGAGCCCAACTTGAAGGGGCTCCCACAAGCCAAATCTGAGCAATTTAAGCATTAAAATATTTAAAACAGTAATGACTCATAAACCATTGGATAAAACAGGAATTCATGAGTCCATACTGATAACAGACAAAAACATCAGTAAATAAATGGGGGAAAAGACTGGGCTCTTGTATTCAGCAGAATGAGTGCATACAGAAGGAGGGCTGGGTTTGGAAGATCATCATTTTGTCACCATCATAGGTAAAGATTGGTTCATGCAAGGGTCAAAGTATGCTAAAGTTAAGGGGTGAAATTTGATGGGGGACAGGATATTTGTGTGGTGTTAAATGTTTCCCCACATATTGCTTATTAGCTGTAAGGGAAAATTTAGTAACTATACAGTGGAGGAATCAGACAACACTCTGACCAGGAGATCAAACTTAACATCACTGATGAGGTGCAACTGGACATCATGTGCCTCTAGATAAGATGTTCTAAGAAGGATGCACCATCGCTTAGCAGTCTTCCAGCCAAGAGTATGTATCTTAAATGCATTCAGGAGGAAAGATTAGACAAACCCCAAAACGAGGAATGTTCTATTAAGATAAAAAGGGGCTGTATTCTTAAAAAACAAATCAGTATCATAAAAGACAAAAAAAAGAAAAGCTGAGGGAATGTTCTAGACTGAAAGATACCAAGGAAACATGGCAACTATATACAATATGTGGTCCTGGACTGGAACCCGCTCTGTAGGGAAAATAACAGCTATAGAAGATAACTGTTGATCAATGACAAAAACTGGGACATGGGCAATAGATAAAAGTGTTACACTAAATTTACTGTAGTTAATTGATAATTATGATAAAGTTGGAGAAAATCCTTATTCTTGGGAAATATACAGGGAAGTATGTGGTGATAAATAGACAAGATGGATGCAACTTGCTCTCATATGGTTCAGACATAAATCGCGTGTGTGTGTATATTTGTGAATAAGAGAGAGCAAATGACAAAGCAAACGGGGTAAAATGTTGACAATAGGTGAGACTCCATGAAGAGTACATTATGAATGCTGTTTGTTCCATTTTCGCAACTTTTCAGTAAGTTTGAAATTATTTTATTATTATTTATTATTGAAAAAAGTTTCTTAAAATTGTAGTATATGTATATGATGCAATGGTTTTCAATTCTAGGGGAAACTATGGGGGGGGGGTATGTGTGTGTATGTGTGCATGTGCATCATACTATTAGCATCTAGTAAGGGAGGCCAGAGACGCTGCTAAACATCCTACAATGCACAGGACAGCCCCACAACAAAGAAGCATCCAGCCCCAAACATTAATAATGCTACAGTTGCGAACTCATGATATAATGGAATACTACACATAAATGAGAATGAGTAACTACGCCCAACAACACGGACGAATCTCACAGAAAATGCTGAGAGACACAAGAGAATATGTGCTGTATGATTCCATTTCTATGAAGTTCAAGAACAGGCTAAGGTTATCTATGGTGACAGGTCAGGAGAGTGGAAGGGGGCATAAGGGAAACCCCTAGGGTGCTGGAAATGGTATCTCTCGAGATCTGGGTGCTAGTTATAAAAGGATACAGGTATGTAAAAGTTCCTGGAGGTGTAGTTTTAGTATTTGCTTTCCCTTATGTAAGTTACACTTCAATAAAACGGTGTAAAAATAAAGCAATGTTCTTATTAAAGAGCCAAATTTAAATGTTGGATATGCCTAGGGAGAAACGATTCTGCCAAACATCATACTTTCCAGTCATATTTTTTTAAATTTCATATTTTAAAAATTAATAAAAACAACAAACAATTGCAGGGCAGAAGGAGTTGAGTCCTCCAACCCGTGCTCTCTCCGCTACTGCCCTCCAACGTACACATCATAAAAGCTGATTTACAACAACCTAATCACTTCCAGAGCCTCCCCAATCCGCAGGCGCAGAGGAGAGGAGGGCAACCTAAGATGATGAATGAGGAGTGTGAGCAGAGGAACTCTAGTAAGGAAGGAAAAAAATCTTCAAAAATCATGTGTAGAAACAAAAGCATTACATCTAGGCGGGCGCGAGGATCTCTCCCGGGCTTTCTACTCATGCCCTCGATGGAATTAGGGTCAGCATAAATAATCTAGCAAATACTGTAAATTCCCAGACACAAGGTCTGAACCTGTCCTTTATAAGCCCACAAGTCAGGCATTTCTGAGAACGTTCTGCGTGGAAACAGTTCCTATTTCAACGAGGAGGTAAACATGAAGACGGGCAGCTTCAGTCCTGCTGGGAGGTGATCTTGCTCTCTCACACTACTGTACTTCCGCATCCTGGGGAATTTCAGGATACTCTTAACCACCCTCTGCGAAAAAGAAAGTGCTCTGGCAGGAACAGGAGGGCCTGTGGCTCAAGTCCAGGGTCTATGATCGGTTTTACCAAAGCATCAGCTCTTCCCCAGGGGATGTGTGGGTGGGACTGGAAATGCTACCTGCTCACTCTAAACAGGAGAAATGTTTATCTTCTTACTTACTAACTCAGACTTTTCTCCAGGGTCTTCTTGCATGCAGGGCATGAACAGAATGGCCAATGTTGCCCACAGATGAGTCATAATTATGCACTTGCCTCCAAACAGGGTGGCTCTGTGGTTAATTTCATTATTGGCAAAATCCAGAGTCCTTGTGCAGACCTCAAGGCCCTCTGGTCGCTCCAAAAACATCAGCTAAATGGTCCTCCTAGTTTGCTCTGCTTCAGCTGCTTACATTCTTCCTCCTCCACAACACAGCAGCCAGCCTGTTCCAGCCCCCTTTGGAAAACTCTCTCCTTTGCACTGCTAACTTCTTTCTATCTTTAAGACCCTCACATAAATGTCACCTCTTCAGTGATGCCTGCCCTGATTGCTCTTTCCAAAGTAGCAAAATGTCCCTCCACCAACCAGTCACTTTGTAGCCTTGACTTCTAAGGTCTCCAGACTTATTTTCTTAAGTTCATATGTAAGTTTGTAGCTGAACAGATGTCCTGTGGGAGCAATGGTCTTGTGCTTCTGTCCACTGCAGTCTCCCAGAACTAATACTGCCTCGTTGGTACTCACTAAATATTTGTGGAATTAAGGTGAATGAATCCTCACACTGCCCACAGCTAGGAAAAAGCAACCACCCTCTGACCTGGCGTGGACCATGACTTAAAGGACAACTGACTAATTCTGATGGGTGGGATGCCAACCATCAGGAACAGAAATACCACGGTCACATCTGTCAATCTCACTGTCTCTGGTCTTTCATTATAAGGCCCACCATGCGGGGCTTCTCCAACTTTAAAGTTGAAGACTGCAAGGCTTATAATTAGCTCCTCAATCTGCAAAAAATGTTTTGCTTTATTAATCGCAGCTCTGGAGATCCGTTTAAATTAGCAGCTTCCATGTCCCCAGGATGGAACTGTACTATCCCAGCTCAGACCTCAACTTGAGAACCTCTCCCTCCCTCTCCAACCA